AGTGATAGAATTTTGAAGTTAGAAGTGGGAATTAAATTGGCTGTAAATTACCACAGAAAATATACCAGTGATATTGTTGACAACATGAAGCAATTAGCCGCAGACATTAAAAACTCTTCTCACTACACATTTGGAAATCATTCAAACTGTGCACAATATTTTTGTAAAAGAGAACAAAACGAAAGAGATTATGTGACAGAAATGGAAGAATGCGGACTAATGGATGACATTGTATCTGCTGGGAATAGGCTGGTCCAAATCAGCCACAGTTTACTATTAAACATTACTAATAATGCTGCAGAAACATATAATTCAACCGTAGCCAAATTTGTTGGAGGAAAGAGAATTAATTTTGCAGTAAATGGAGGATATACTGTTCGATGTACAGCTGCAGCCATTTCTTTTAATAAAAAAGAACTATATTCCCACTCTTTATAAAAAGCTGTCAAAGAGTGTTCCTGGGATTCTCACACAAAGATTGGTTACTCAAATGAGTAAGCGTAGATGTAGTAGAAAAATCAGAGGCCCTCAGTTAAAAAATCACAAAAGTGGCGCACCTAAAGATAGGGACTACGGACTGCATTGCGATGATGATGATGACGTCGATATTTGGAACAAAAAACTACAGTTTTTGGATAGTTTACCAAAATCAATAGTTGATATATGTAAAATTTAAGTATCTGCTAGAAGTCAGGCCAGTAATGATCTGTGGAAAGAACATCGTAGTAATATGCTCACAGCTTCAAATTTTGGGACCGTTTGCAAATTACTTAAAACAACAGATTCAAAAAAGACTGTTAATGATATATTATTTTCTTTTTTTTACGAATCAGTCGCTACAAAATGGGGACAAGATCATGAATCTATTGCGCTAGTAGAATTTAACAAATAAATATAGAAAAACGGTACAAGAATGTGGATTATTTATTAAACGATCAATAGAACTTACCTGTAGTTCGATCGTAATTATATGAGGCATCCAGTCCGAAGATATCACATTGAGTTAACTATGTAGTAGGCCTTTTCTGCTACTACGCCCACGATATTTTTAAAGATTTAAAAAAAAGCAAATAGAATAAAACTTCTGGTACGCTCCTGACATCCCCATCCATCTCTACTGTCTCTGTCGCCGCTTGGCTATTCATTTTCTTTAAAGTAGCAAGTTCCTGTTCCGGGAATCAATGTTTAGGAACCAACTGGGTTGGGAGTGGCGGGTTGAAATTTCCTAACAGTAGTTAGGTTTTTTGGGGCTGGGCACAGATCCTTGCTTAAATTAGCGATGTGTTTTGCAGGCTTAACATGTTCAGAGAGATTATTTCCGAATAACAGGTCTGTAGGATGAGATTTTTCTACAACCTTCTTTATATTTTTGCTCAATAAAGGAAGAAAGCAGTTCCTCCTTGACATTGTCAGTCTATGATAATTTGGTATATAATCTTCCCGCATCGCATAGATGTGTCAGAAGTTCCTCCTTGATTTCAGAAGAAATATTTTCTTTGTCCTTCAATATGACGTTAAGCCCTAGACCTAACGCACATATACCTTTTCCTAACTGAGACTGAGACTCCTTTTGGGACCCGTCTCTGATTAAATTAGTTTTCCCAAAATTGACACAATTTCCAGATTCAATGGTGGCGGTGTCAAATTAGGCAAGTTGGAGGGGACCAAATATTTCTGAAGCAATGCGGTTGCTTCATCTCTTGGGAGCCCATGGACGACATTATTTCACCATCTTGGTATAAGTGCATCATGCAGTGAAACACTTTGATTTTTTGCTTCCTCGGGATTCGATCCCAAAATACTTAAGACTTCTTCAGGAAGGTCTATATCATTGTGAAGGATTAATTCCTCCTCCTTTTGATCCGAGCTACAGACCCGTTTACTTAATTCCGAGAACGACAATGCATTTGTTCGTTCCTGGCTAACGCCCCTCAGCGACGACACTGAAGAACAGCTAACAGCTGTAGCGTCTCGGTCCTGCGTGGACCCGCGCTTGTATCGTTCATCATCCGATGCGCCGGCTAGCATCCCTTACAGGGAAAGCAGACCGAGAACGGCGTGATCTCGAAACATGGCTGCGCGATCGAGAACGTTTTAGTTGCCTTGCATTGTTTTCTAGCCTTTTTAGCCGTTTTAAAATTGTTTTTAGATCAATGTGATTCTCTGAATGACTTGATAATGGACTTCTCCTTCTTTTCTTATGTTTTTCCATACTAAAAGAGATGCTAAAAGGTAAAAATATTAGATATAAACACGGATACTTACCTAGATCCGTCCTCGTAGGCGTAGTACGAAAAGCACAATGAAGAGCCAAGCGGCGACAGAGACAGTAGAGATATGGTTGGGGATGTCAGGAGCGTACCAGAAGTTTTATTTCATTTGCTTTTCTTTTTTAAATCTTTAAAAATATCGTGGGCGTAGTAGCAGAAAAGGCCTACTACATAGTAAACTCAATGTGATATCCAGGACTGGATGCCGAAATATAATTTATGAAAAACATTCATACTTGGAACTAAGTCCAGACGGCATTATTAATAATAATGAAATAATTGATATTAAATGTCCATATTCTTGTTCCAAATTGACACCAGAAATGGGAATTCAAGAAAAAAAAATTAAATATCTAGCCAATTAAGATGGCCAAATTAAATTAAAAAAAAAAGATAATTATTATTATCAAGTACAAGGGCAATTGGCTATAACGAAACCTACATATTGTTATTTTATAGTTTGGACCCCACTAAGAATGTTCGTTGAGAAAATTAAGAGAGATGACAATTTTTGGTTATGTGCAGAACCAAAGTTAGTTGATTTTTATTTAAAATGTTTAATAAAAGAAATTGTAAGAAGAAATTGATGTAATTTATTTTTTTTGTGATTGTATTTTGTTATGTGAAATAAAATGTTTCATTAAAAATAGTAGGTAATTAATTTTTTTTTTATTTAAGTATTTAATTTATTTTGACCTATTTTTACTTTCAGTGAACGAAGAAAAGATAAAACCAATACATTATATTTTTTTATGAAATTAAAACAAAGCATATATATTATGTACAATAAAATATACATGCATGCGATAAAATAGTTTTTAAAAAATTTTTCGTCTACACTACAAATTAATTGTGATAAATATTTTATAGTGTGTACTTTCCATAGTATGCACTTTCCAAAAATCAGTTTTTTACTTTAAATATACCATAAATAAAGCCATCCAAAGCTTTCGCGCGGATACCAAGTGTATATTATCGAATATTAGTTATAACAACAATAATGTTTATTTACAAAAAAGTATAAAAATCCTTTACTATTTCACCTTAGAATATAAATAAAATCAATTCAAATGTAGGGAATTATATATTTAAAAAATAAATTCACTCCTCAGTAAACGTTAATCAATGAATAAGAAAGAGAACTTTCGTATCTGGCGTCTAAGTAATAAATAAAAATATTACAATATACAGACAAATTGGGCCAACCCGCGTTTTCTGATGGATTTGAATACCGAGAAAGATAGGCGTCCCTCCCATTAGACTGAACGGAGAAAGATAAAATTATTACACGTACAATTGTCTTTACATAAACATAGAGAGGGTTGCGTACAGATATATTCTATGAAATGGATGAGGTACCTCTCAACTTCGACCGAACGAAAAGCGGTAGAACAGCCTTAACTTCTGCCGACAAAGTCGTGGCTATTTATATAAAAATGTAACGGCCTAGAGAAAACCAATCCTGCTGGAATAATCTCGCAGCATTGGCAAAGTGCTTCCCCTATGCGTCAGCTGCATACCTAGAAGTTTCCGGTAATGTTTTAACCAAGAGTCGGGTGCAGACTTCATTCTTGCGACAGTTATTTGCAAATCGATACATAGTTACAAGCGACTGGTTACAAGCAATAGTGGAATATTTTCTTAACCTTTTATCCTTATAAAATAAACAATTATCAAATTTCAAATACTAAATAGTACTTTATTGACCAGCATTGTGAAAATCCACTTCATAAACAAAATTTGGAAAAATTAAATTCCTTTAAATTAGTCCAAACATCTCTGCGAAATAGTTTAAGCAGTTCAAAAAAAGGACATATTAAATTTGATTTATGCCAGATGACGGTTGCATCCAACATTCCTCTGTATAAAGTTAATCATCCTAGTTTTAAGTTATTTTTTAAAAAACATTTGATAAATCTTTACCAGAGGAGAGTACGTTGAAAAAACAAACTATACACAAATGATATATAAAATTGTATTTCAAAAATTAACGCCAATCGTTTGAGTTCTAGAACTTAATAAAGATAGTGGCGACTTTATTAGATTTCGGATTCCCTCGCCAACATTCGTATCAGTTCGAAGTTTTCTAATATTAATATCATAGTATGTACTATTATAAATAAAAACAAGATGAATGATAATCTAATAATTTAAAAATGAAGTTTGGAATTTGTATAAGGACAAGGACTCTACTTCATTTCTTTTTTAACAAACTATTTTCTCTATTTATTTTCAACACGTTTTATATAAATACACATCAGACTTCTATTTACGTGATAAATTTGCTGGATGCTTTCGTTTGATTATGATGTTTTAATCTTTTGTGTATTCATTCATGTGTAAAACTCATTAGACACTGGAATTTCATGCATGAAATTATGAAATACTAATTAGCTGAGATTGCTTCTAAATCAAACAGACACTCCTTTTGACTTTAGTGGTACAACTTTTACCTTTCAAAGAAATCTTTCAGATGAGCCAAATTGGGAAATTATATAATGAATAGAGTAGACATCAAAGTGAATTATTTGTTCACACTCTCATGTTCTGTTGTGATAACGATAACTGATTTTGAATACTAACTTTTGAGTACTTGATTGAGTATTTAAAAAAAATTAAATTAAATGTCTATTCATAAATAAAACAAAATATTAATAAATAGTTATAATAAATATAAATAAATAAATATAAATGACCCGCTGAAATATGAAAATATTGCAATTGGCTTACCAAAACGTGGGACAAGTGAAACATTTTCTATATCTCCTTGAGTCTTCTTCAGGTTAATATCTGCAAAGAAAAAAATATTTAAAAAAATGTTTCTTTATCTATTTTTCTTAAAATAACCATAGGTGTAATAAAATGAAATTAATAGACCTTGGAAGTGGAAAGAAAATAAAAATAAAAATCTGATGTGTCCAACACATGACTTTCCTATCTAGTTAACCTATTGCAGCATCTCTAAAAATGTTTGGAGGATAAACTAAATGTATACATTTTCCACATACATCTACTTCGAAACATTTTTCTATAGATATTTATTGAAAACGAAAATACTGAAAAATTTAAATTTAGCACTTTTCCTCCAATTTTTCCATTACGGTCCATTTTAGAAAAGTCATTTAAAAACAAAAATTATAGAGATCGATATCGCAAACAACTTTTAGTTTAACAATTTTCTTAAAAATCAGAATTTTGCACATTTTGTCAAATTTCTCGAATACGGACCATTTCAGGAAAATTTGACATGTAACAAAAATTATAGATAATAGTATTTTAAGTAACTTTTATTTGAAGAATTTTCTTCCCCAAACGTAAATAACGAATATATTCCATAAAATATAAAAATGACCACCAATAAAGTACCCCCCCAAATGTTCCGACTCTGTCCAAAATCTAATCAGTTCACCTCAGGTCGAAATAAAACTTAAGTTTAAAATTTAATGTTTCTTCCTTTATCCGTTTTTGAGTTTTCTTCAAAATTCGAAATTTACACATTTTCTCAAATATCTCGAATACGGTCCATTTTAGAGAAATTATGTATAGGATAAAAATGATAGAGAATTATATTACAAACAACTTTTATTTGAACAATTTTTATAAAAAATTATTTTTTTTACATTTTGTCAAATTTCTCGAATACGGACCATTTTAGGAAAATTTTGCATAAAACAAAAATTATAGATAATGATATTAGAAGTAACTTTTATTTGAAGAAATTTCTTTTCCAAACGTAAATAACAGATATATTCCATAAAATATAAAAATGACCACCTATAAAGTACCCCCCCCAGATGTTCCGACTCTGCCCAAAATCTAATCAGCTCATTGGACGCTGAAACAAAGCATTAGTTTAAAATTTGGTGTTTTTCTGTTTATCGGTTCATGAGTTATGCGACCTACAGACACACACACACACACACACACACACACACACACACACACACACACACACACACACACACACACACACACACACACACACAGACACACACACACACACACACACACACACACACACACACACACACACACACACACACACACACACACACACACACACACACACACACACACACACACACAGACACACACACACACACACACACACACACACACACACACACACACACACACACACACACACAGACAGACATCATCGCGAAAATAGTCAAAACGTAAAAATCCGTCGAAAACTCGAGGTCGAAAAAAATCATGATTCCTATACTTTCCTTATATCTGTATACAGATAGGAAAGTAAAAATGGAGAAGTCAAAAAGGAAAGAGCAACGTGGAATAACGAACAATTAATGGAAGAAACCGTAAATATGGATGTTGAAGAAAAACTAGAAGATTTAGAACAAGAAAATTAACAAATTAAAATCTAAGGACAAAACCAAAAGATTGGACAAAACCAAAAGATTATGTACCCCTAGGAGAATAAAAGTAAGAAATAGAAAGTCTATATACCCCTAGGAGAACAAAAGGAAGAAAAAAATGTGTACAAAAAAGGCAAATTTTTCAAAACACTGATAAAATAAATGGAAAATCTAAAAATAGGACAGATAGCACTGAGAAAACATATAGAAAAAATAAAAAAAGACAGAAAAAGCAAAACAGGCCAAGAGGAATAAAAAAAATTTAAAAAAGCAGAAAGACACCAAAATGGGGTTTAAAAATTCGCTGGATATTAAAATGAAGAAAGACTTGGAACAAGGATGCCAAATAAGCAAAAATAATAAAGAAGAATGACTTCTAAAGAAGAAACAAAAACGAAATTAGATGAAATATATACAGAAGAAAAACCAGAGAAGACATAAGAATAGAGATGATTGAAAGAATGACAGAAGAAAATATAAAGATAGTAATTGACATATTTAAATAGAAAATAAAATTAATAAAAATAAATGGGAACACAATTAAAACAAGACAAAAATAAATAGTTACAATAAATATAAATCAATAAATAAAAGATTTTATTTAAATAAATAAAAATAAATGCCCTACTGCAATAAAAAAATATCATCACATTCGATTTATTTTAGTATACAGTATGTCTGAAAAATTAGACACCAAATTTAAATGTATTTCTAAAAAGTACTGCATCGCATAAAATCAATTATTCTAAATCAAGACAAGTGAAGAGTAAAGTCCATTTAAATTTAATTAGATAATAAAATATCACTTGAAAATTTTGATAGAAACTAAAATAATAATACTCTCCCTAATTCACCCCCTTACGAGTGAATTTTAACCCAAAAAGCTGAGCTTCTGCGGGGAAAGGGACGGATATTATTATTATTATTATTATTATTATTATTTGCTGTGGCGCTCCGGGGCGATTGATGACGATTGATGATGCCATTTGAATTACAGGTGAGGAAAACCCGGAAAACCTCACCCACCATCATCGAGACGGTAATGTATGGCGATTTTTTATAATCTGCATGTCATATCAACAGAAATTGAATTTCTATTAATACGGCACACATCAAATCCTATACCGAACCATGCAATTTAATTAAAAATCCACATGGTCTGGTCTGGGATTCGTCCAAGTTTAAGTTTATGACCTTCTAATAATTAATAATACCTTAAAAGTAAAAAAAATAAATTTCTCTTCATACCCCTAAATATTTTACACATTTGTTCTTGATTATTGATTTCTATGTGATGCGGAACGATTTATGGAGAATAGAATAATTTTGTTAACCCTTTACAAAAAGAGATCATTTTGTCATAGATTACCTTCAGCGAAAACCTGATTTCCGTCGCAAGTGAGAGAAATTCTCATAACGTTAACTTTCGACTCTAGTGACGAAAGTTAAATTTATATTTTCAATCATTTCCCGCCCTCGTATATAGTGGTTTGACGACTTTAAATTATTAATAAACAAAGACAGAAAGGGTTTCTATATTTAGAATGCATTTTGTTTACTCTTATTTAATTAAAAAGCCTAATAGAATCGTAAAAATACCGTAAGATTTAAAAATAATTTATATTTTTTAGTTGCATGGTTTCATTAGTTTGACGTTTCGCGTTAATTGTTTAGACTTGTCAGTTTGTACTTAAGGTAGTTCACACGTTAAACAGTCTTTCTTAAGAATTCAATAAAATTGAAATATGAGGTTAATGAAAGTGTCTTTTATGTACCTAAAAAAAATAAAAAAATTTGACCGTCTGTAAAACGAGATATTAACAATCAAAATGTGCATAATTAACACTCTTGAAGCCCTGTCATGTACACAATCATTGCATTTATTTCAAGATATCTCGAAAACGGTTCTTACCATATTTTTTAAAAACTAATGTAATGTAAATCAAGAAGTTATAAAATTTTCTAAAAAAACGCTGAATTTTTTTACCGTTTTGATAAAGAAATATAGATTTTTAAAATAAAAATGTTCTTAAAGCAGTCGACGCATAGTGGCTTATTGTGATTACAACTTGGCAACGTTGTAATCGATACACTCAACGCCCGCTAATTCAAATGTCTGTTAGATCAGTGCTTCCCAACCTTTTTATTGCCGCGGATAGGTCGTTTATCACTTTATCGAGGCCTTCTGGGAAGGGACGTTGTTTATACTTTAGGTTGATATGATTTAACAATTTAAATTTTATTGTATTTAAACATGTCTTCAAAATTAAATAAATATGCAAAAAATGAATATAATTTTATTTAAACATGCCTTCAAAATAAAATACAGTTACACAAAAAAAATGAATATAAAGTAATTTAAAATTTCAACTTACTAGTATGAGGAAGTAATAAAAAAATACAAATAAAAGTAATGATTTTCTGTAGTATTGATGATATCGTAGGAACGTTCATGACAGCAAGAAATTTATTTAAAGCGTTTGACCAAACTCTGAATGGACAGCACCTTTAAATAAATAAAATTATATAAATTATAATAAAAAAATTATAAACATAACAAATACTTGTATTTTTTTTGACATTTACCTAGTGTTGACATCTGAATGCTTAACTTCACTTTTTGTTGCATGAATTTTGTCCGTAGGTACTATAGTTTCAATAGTACATTCATTAAATTTAACATTTTAAATTGAATAAAGTCCCTTTCGTGTTTCATTTGTAGTATTTTCAAGAGAAAGAACTCTTTTACACCAGCAACATTTTAAATGTTTTCCCAACTCTAGTAATTCCACGCTGCGACCACTGCACAGGTTATTTTTCAAGCTTGGGGTTTCCTTTCTCAATTTTTTTGTATAATTCATAGCCAAAATTGATTTCTTGCGTTTGTTGAGGACGTTTTGCCTAACAAATTTTCCTTTATCTCGCAATTAATTGATCCTGACAATGAAACATTTTGATATTTACATTTATTTCAGTTTAGGAATAGAGTTGACGTTTCACAATATATTTACGACGTTGCCGGATGGATTTTACGCGATATAATACCATATTTGTATATAGGATCACATGTGTTGTGTGTATAGTCTGTTACAAAAATAACCTTTCTTTAGATTTAAGAATCTTCTTTTAAAAAATTTTCAAATAAAAATTCCACCTCTAAAAAACATTCACTCATTCAAACAATTATTGATCAACTTTTTGATTCAGTTGCTGCTAGGTACGTACCAAATAAAATACAACTTTCACTAAATAACGCAGGAGAGTTAGCTAACTCTCCTGCGTTGATAATATAGAATTAGAGGCTGCTATTAAAACAACTAAAAGTGCTGCCATTGGAGATGACTACATTACATATGAACTTATTAATCACTTACCCAACAGAGGGAAAGGACTCTTAATAAAAATATACAA